CCGGGGCCCCCGGCGATAACCGCAAGCCAACCACCTGCCCCCTCCGGTGCCTGGTGGGCGAAACCGCAAGCACCGTCCCCCCCGCCCGCGGCGCTCCCCAGCGCGGGGGAGTTGCAGCCCCCTCAGTGCCTGTGGTGCACTGCATGGGCTGGGGGCAGCTCTGCCCCCCGTGCGCCCCGGGGGGCGCAGGGGAGGGAGCAGGAGCTGCTCCCTCTGCCTGGCCTGGCCTGGCCTGGCCTGGCCAAGCCGCATCCTGCTCAGGCCCTGCCCTGTGTGAGGCAGGCCCTGTAACTGGCCCAGCCCCTGCAGCGGGGCCCAGCACCCTAGCTGCTGTCCCTGGGGAGCTGCAGTGTGAGGAGCAGGGAGCGGCCAGGCCCTCCTCCCCCACTTGTGCCCAACAGGGCCCAGGGCTGCTTGCCCTCCTGTGTCCGGCTCAATAAAACCCCTTGTGTTACCCTGACCCTGAGCCTCTTGCTGATAACTGGGGGCTGGGTGCAGTTCTGGTCCAGCTCCCGCAAGGCTAGTTCTCACCTGCGCTGCATGCGTCCCCCTGCTCCCGCCCGAGCTGGGCTGGGTGATGGTGGGTCCTTGGCTGGGGCCAGGGGCTGCCTACCCAGATGGGGGCCCTGTGCCCAGGGGGGAGAGCTGGTGGCTGGGGGCTTGGTGATAGATGCCCAGGCTCTGGCCCCATCAGGGTACAGCTGCCCGCTGCAGTGTCAGGGCTGCTCCAGGGCAGAGAACCAGCCTCCAAGATGCACCAGGCCCAGCCAGGCCCTCTGCCCAAATCCGCCTACAGCAAGACACGGGCTACTGCTCTGGAGCTAACTCTTTATTGTGGGTGCTGAAGCAGGGATGAGGGCTGCTCCTTGGCAAGGACCCAGTGCCCTTAGCCTGGTGCGGGTGTGTGGGGCTCGGGTGGGACTGGGCAGCACAGGGCAGGCAGTCACACATCCTTCCAGGGTGTCCAGGCACTCCAGCTGGAGTTGGCAAAGGGGTCCTGGCAGCTGAGGCGCACCTGGCGCACGGCCCCTGCCAGCTGTATCTCCTGCACAGTCTCCAGCTGCAGATGGCCCTGTGGGGTGGGATGGGATGGGGTCAGTGTGGGCTCAGCCAGGCTGGGCCCAGGCCTGCTTTTGTGTGGGCAGTGCGGGGAGGGGGACCACTGCAGGCTCTAGGTAGTCCCCCTGGGTGGCCCTGGGCTGGGGTGAGGGTCCGGGGGTTTCTCACCATGGAGCCATCGTGGTGCTTGTACTGCAGGCGGTAGCGCAGGGTGAAGTAGGAGTGCGGGTGGCTCCAGGAGGCCGGCGGGGCCCAGGCCAGGTGCAGCTGCTGCCCCTCGCGCCACGCCGTCACGTTCTGTGGGGGCTCGGGGCGCACTGCGGGCAGAGCAGGGCTGTCAGCCAGGCACTGGGGGTGTGGGGGGGGTGCGGGGGGGAAGCACTGGGAAGCACCGATATCACGCAGGAAGAGGCGCAGCCTGAAGTCCTCGAATAAGTGGTGCCTCGTCAGCGCCTGCAGCTCCAGCACCAGCGGCTGCGTCTCCTCGGCAAAGGGGCAGAAGCCGGGCTCCACAAAGTCCATGTTGACCAGACCCCGCTGCTCCAGGCCCGTGCGCTGCCAGGCCCCGGGGCTCTCCCC